ATACAGACCAGCTTTACAATTTTCAGGAAAAAAACAGCCTTATAATCTGACTTATTTGTGTTCTAGCCTTAGGAAGAAAGAGCTGTAAAATTTTTTTTTGTGGTTTTTAAGAAGCTGCCATTGACTCCACTGAAATGACATATGAGCTTTAATATCTACAGTATAAATACGGCATTGTATTAGCCAAATATTGCCATAAGTATTGCTACAAATACTGCAGTATGATAGGTGTTGAGTCATTATAGAAATTCATATCACAGTGTATTGAACATTTACCAGAGTAAGCACAGACTGCTGGAGAGGATATAAAAGTTGCATAAGAAGTTGAGACTGTTTGCAATCTAAATTATTATAAACCAAAGCACCATCTCCTGACTTTCTTATGCACTTTTAGTTCTTATTTGTTTTGAAATAGTGTTAAAGAATTTAAATTTTTGTAAGAGCATATTAATGGATCTACTTTGATATAGTTACTGATAGTCATTTATAGTTTCTACAGTTGTTTCCTTTTTAGTTTTTCTGTTTAATAACTTGCTAGGATCTCTTTATTATTTCAGTTCTGCTACAGGTTTGATAGAAAATCGCCCTCAGTCACCAGCTGCAGGCAGAGCACCAGTGTTTGTGAGCCCCACTCCCCCACCTCCTCCACCACCTCTTCCATCTGCCTTGTCAACTTCTTCATTAAGAGCTTCAATGACTTCAACTCCTCCCCCACCAGTACCTCCCCCACCTCCACCTCCAGCCACTGCTTTGCAGGCTCCAGCAGTACCACCACCTCCAGCTCCTCTTCAGATTGCCCCTGGAGTTCTTCACCCAGCTCCTCCTCCAATTGCACCTCCTCTAGTACAGCCCTCTCCACCAGTAGCTAGAGCAGCCCCAGTATGTGAGACTGTACCAGTTCATCCACTCCCACAAGGTGAAGTTCAGGGACTGCCTCCACCCCCACCACCGCCTCCTCTACCTCCACCTGGCATTCGACCATCATCACCTGTCACAGTTGCAGCTCTTGCTCATCCTCCCTCTGGGCTACATCCTACTCCATCTGCTGCCCCAGGTCCCCATGTTCCATTAATGCCTCCATCTCCTCCATCACAAGTTATCCCTGCTTCTGAGCCAAAGCGTCATCCATCAACCCTACCTGTAATCAGTGATGCAAGGAGTGTTCTACTGGAAGCAATACGAAAAGGTAATTTGTTCAGGGCCATGAAAAGCATTGTTTTGGTAATACTGGAAATGTTCTAAATATTTAGGATAGTAATGTGTTCCTCATTTGTAAAATTTGATGTATTTTTGTATAAATTGTATTTAAAATAGGAAGTAAAGCTATGTAAAACTTATGTTTTAAATTATTTTCAGGAAAATACAACATCTTTAATTAACCATTTAATTTTCACATACTTAGTAGGGATTCATAAAGTGAATGAGAAATTGAAGGCATTAGGGTTGGGGATGGCTCAGTTGGTAGAAATCTTTACCTGGCATGCACAAAGCCCTGGATTTGATCCCTAGTACCACACAGAACTGGGCATGGTGACACACACCTGTAATGCCATCATTAGTTCTAGGTCATATTGGTTGCATGCCAGCTTGGGCTACATGAGACTCTTGTCTAGAAAGAAAGAAAGAGAGAAAGAGAGGGAGAGAGAGAGGGAGGGAGGGAGGGAGGGAGGATGGAAGGAATTTAAAACATTGGACTCCTGTGTTATAGAAAAATTATTTTAAAAATCTTATTAAAAATCTGTATTAACTCCCTTACAATGCTGTTTTCTTCAGGTTTAACACTATTTATTTTGGGTATCATTGGCATGTGCTTTGCCAGATGCCTCTAAAGGAATAAGGTTTTCTCTTAGTAACAAAAAAGACTTAGTCATGTTTGGTCCTTTATTACTTCAACATCTCCTAAACAGTTACTGTATGTCAGGCGTCAAGAATATAGAGAATAGGGACTAGAGAGAGGGCTCAGCAGTTAGGGGCACTGGCTGTTCTTGCAGAGGACCCATGTTTGGTTCCCAGGACCTGCATGGTTCCCAGGACCCACTAACAATTGTCTGCAGCTCCAGTTCCAGGGAATCTGACGCCCTCTCCTGGCATCCTTGGGTGTTGCATGACATGGGTACACTTAACATATATGCAAGCAAAACATTCATACATATAAGATTAAAAATAAATTTTTTAAAGTGTTTTTTAAAGGGCATAGAGAATAATAGTGCTTTTCCTTCAAATAAAGGGGACAATAAGGCCACAAAAATATATTCAGCAATGTTTATTTGACCCTGAGAGATGATAGAAGATACATATCCTCTGGTTATTTAGGGGTGGTGAGCTAGGAGGTACAGCTGAGCATGATGATAAATACACATAGCCATTGGGATATCTGGGGAGTCTCCCCATCTGATTACTAGAGCTTATTTTTACTTTCCTGCTTTCCCAAAAGCATTTCTCATATGGTTTTGATTTTATTCCAGAGAGATTAATATTGTCTAATATTTAGCATTTGAATTAAAATGAATGGTTTGGATTTGCTCTATCAGGTATTCAGCTCCGCAAAGTAGAAGAACAGCGTGAACAGGAAGCTAAGCATGAAAGAATTGAAAATGATGTTGCCACCATCCTGTCTCGCCGCATTGCTGTGGAATACAGTGATTCAGAAGATGATTCAGAATTTGATGAAGTAGACTGGTTGGAGTAAGAAAATTGCATTGCTAAATATTACAAAACTGAATGCAAATGTCCTTTGTGGTGCTTGTTCTTTGAAATGTTTGGTCATCCTAGTGTTTTGCTTTCTATTCCTTATAATAACCCTTTTCCTCCATAATTTTTGATTTCTAAGAAAAGTATTAGCATACGTTTCTAACTAAATATTTTACAGTGGCTTATCTTATTTTTTTCTCCTGAAAATGCATAATTTGGTCCAATAAACCACTAAGTATTAAGCATGGACAGCCGTTGTTAGAGTAGTGGATTCAGTTTTTTTATATACCTTAATTGTGCACTTTGTGATTTTTTTATTTAAAGAAGGCAACTGAGATTGAAATCTTGAAGGCAGCAGCTGTGTCTATGAATGAGCCTTATTCCATTTCTTGATGTTTTAAAAGAAGAAACACTGCCTTGATTATGTCAATACACTCAGAATGTACATTTTGCTTGTAGTATTGAATTCTCTTAAAGGAATGCTTAATTTTTTTATCATTTTATTGTTTTAAATACTTGCAGAACCCCTTACCCACTTATATATTGTGTGGTACAATTTTGCTTGCCTATAGAAGTTTAAATTTTTTCCATGTGAAATACTCTGAATAAACATATATGTAACTTACATAACTTAAGAATAACAGTCTGATTTAATAAATAGTTCATTTTAAATGTTTTTTTGGTGTTCCTCTTTGAATAAAACTGTAGTAGTTTCTAAATACACAGATAGCACATGAAGAAATGTAAAATATATTTAGCTGTATAACTTTGTAGTTTTTCATACTCATGATGTCTATCATGTAAGGGAGCTTTTTAAAATGTTATGGTTTTCTAAAGTTACAAAATTGTGGTCTTAATATCAACTTGACATTTACTTTCAGCAAACCTTGTTTTCAGTTTAAATCACTCTGGACATATTTTATAGCGATGAGTTGTTAGTGTTTGCACCAAATCAGGATAAAGAGCAAGTGCTGTTAATATGATTGATTACTTACCTTTAAAGTACTAAATGAGCTAGGTATAATTGTGCATGGGTATAATCCCATAATCCCAGTGCAGAGGGGATGAGAAAAGAGGATGAGAGTTTGAGGGCTATAGGGCAAGATCTGGCCTCATAAAAGAAAAATAGGGAAGGAAGGAGGAAGGGGAAGAGGAAGGAAGGGACTAAACTAAATCTGGTCTCAACAAAGGGCAGGGGAGGAAACTAAACTAAATCTGGGCACTCTTCAGCTTTGCTTATATCCATCCATTTTACTGCCCAGTTTCTAACTCTTCCCATAAAGAGGTGAATTGTGTTCTGGCTCCCTTGAATTTAGGTTTCTCTAAGATTAGCTTTGGCCAATAGCATGTGGCAAATGGGATGTTGTACTAATTCTAAACCTAGGCCTCAAGAGGCTTGCAAACTTTTATCTCTTTTTGTCTATGCCCAGCTCCCTTTTCTCCCCAACCTGGCCACTTAACATAATAGATGGTTGATACATAAAGTCACTTGGTAACTTAATAATATGGAGGTTATTTAAGCAAATAGCTAGTGACCTATAATCTTTTAAAAATAGAAAAAATAAACCAAGTTCAACTGTAGCCTCAGTGGTTAAGAGCACTGACTGCTCTTGCAGAGGACCCGGGTTTGATTCCCAGCACCCACATGGCAGCTACGAACCGTCCTTAACTCCAGTTCCAGGGGAATCCGAAGCCCTATTCTGACTTGCACGGCATCTCACAACACAGGTGCACTCACATACATGCAGGCAATACGCTCATACACATAAAAATAATAAATAAAATATTTTTTAAAATGTTTCCTGCCGGGCGTCGTGGCCTGTGGTGGCCCATGCCTTTAATCCCAGCACTCGGGAGGCAGAGGCAGGCGGATCTCTGTGAGTTCAAGGCCATCCTGGTCTCCATGGTAAATCCAGGCCAGCTGGGGCTACAGAGAGACCCTGTCTCAAAAAGACCAAAAAAAGAAAGAAAGAAAACTATGCTGGGCGCGGCAGCCCATTCCTGTAGTCCCAGCACTAGGGAGGCATAGGCAAGAGGGATAATTATGTTCCAGGCCAGCTGGGACTACAAAAAGACAACAAAACATACATACAGAACCAGCACAGTTGTCCAGTGACTGTAATAGCAAAATAACATGGTACACATACATAGCTGAATTTTATTCAGCCACAAAAGACACAAAATGAGAACAGAAACAGAAAATTACTAAGAAGCCAGAGTGCCCAAAAATTCTGAGAAGGACTTAGATTACATCACTAATCAGGCATAGTATAAACAACACTACTCTTCAACAGGCAGTTATGAAAGAAACCACTCAGACTGCATTCTCTCCCTCCACTCTCCCAAAGGAGAAAAGAAGGCAAAAGGCAGTTGCAGAAAGACAACACCTAGAGCCGGCTTCACGCTCAGGAGAGAATACTACATCTCCTCCACATCTCCTCCTCGTGGTTTCGGGTACTCTACACAGTCAGAGAAACTTCTCTAGTAACAAACTATAGAAATGATCCCTGAAAGTATAGTCTTAACAAGCACCTCCCCGCCTCCTCAAAGTCCTGGCTTCCACTCCACTTTAGACTAATGGTGACATTGTTTCTCTAGCGTGTTTCCTAAGAAATGTCACACAAATATATTTTCAAACCATTGTTTTATGTAAGGCTTGATAAAATATTTTAAAGACTTTTGAGTTTTAAGGAAACACAGATTTACGTTCTTAATTAACATATTACGAACGACAGCCAATCAGATGCCAAGTCCAAACCAATCACTTCCAGACCAGTTTAAAGAGTAAGGGTGTGAGCATCAATGTCAGAAGGCAGTTGCAGTTAAGGCAGTTAAGGCTTAGCCATAGTTTAAAAAGATGGTAACAGCTGGGCGTGGTGGTGCACGCCTTTAATCCCAGCAGAGGCAGAGGCAGGCGGATCTCTGTGAGTTCAAGGCCAGCCTGGTCTACATAGTGAGTTCCAGGACAGCTGGGGCTACAAGGAGACCCTGTCTCAAAAAGACACACACACACACACACAAAAGTTTCCTAATGGTTTAAATAAAAGATTTGATTCATTGTTTTAGTAGCTTAGCTTAGAACAAGAGTTTAGATAAACATTCAAGGATTCTTTCTAGCCTTATGAAAATGTAGCATCAAGTTTAAGAATATATGACATCGTTTAAAGTTTATCTTCGTAAGTGTGCTTATAATTAAAAAGTTGCAACAGTGCACATGTGTGTGACTGTGGGTATACGCCTGCCATAGCATGTATGTGGAGGTCAGAGGACAGCCTCAGGTGTCAGTCATCATCTTCCTCCTTGTTTGGGACACAGTCTCTTGTTTGCCACTACATTTCCAAGGTAACTGGCCTGCAAGCTTCTGGGGTTTCTCCTGTCTTGGCCTCCCATCTCACTGTAGGTGTGCTGGGATAGGTGTGTGCTACCTAATCAAGGTTTATGCAGATTCTGGGTATTCAAACTCAGGTCTTCACACTTTCATGGCAAGTACTTTACCTACCCAGCCATCTCTCCAGCCCCTAGTGTGTAGTTTTTTATAAAGTGCAGCCAAATAACCAAAACATAATGGTCTGAGGTTGGAACAGTTAAGGGTAATCTGGAAGGAAATGAGTGAAGATTTTCTAATAATGAAATGTGTATATATGCAAATCCCAGCAGTGTGTATTTTCGTTGTTGCTCCTGAGAAGATTGCTGCAAGATAAAAACATGCCTACAGGACTGAAGAAACCAGATAATAGCATCCATTTTAAAGTCAAAATGACCTTTTAGTGTAGCTGTTCTGCTTAACTTGCTGAGGGGGGTTTTAAAATTTTATTATTTTTATTTTATGTGTATTGCCTGTATGTATGTAATGTGTCATGCAATGCTCAGAAAAGGGCATTGGATCCCCTGGAACTGGAGTTATGGATGGTTGTTAGCCACCATGTGGGTGCTGGAGAATTGAACCTGGGTCCTCTGCAAGAACAGCCAGTGCTCTTAACCACTGAGCCATCTCTCTAGCTCCCTGAGAGTCTTTTAAGCAGATCAGGTAAGGGTCAACTTTATTACCATATGCAGAATAAAAAATACTGGTTAATGAATGTCTTTTTATGGCTGAATTGTTTTACATATTCAAAAATGTTATGTGTAAACAGAGTCAGAGTAAAGTGTGCCCTGGGAAAATAATTGGTCTTTTTGATTGAGGTCATCCATTCACTTCACACTATCAACTCCAGTGAACAGGTTTTGTGTTTTGTTTGTTTGTTTGTTTTTCTAGTTCATTTAGTCTTTGTTTCTGTGTTTATTCTACCTCCTTGAAACTTTCAACTCCACTTTGGCATTTGTCACTGTCTCTGTCCTCTTCTCCTTCCCTGTAGCGGTGAAACAGAAGGAAGAGAGAAATACGACCTCTGTAGCTGTGGTGTTTGGGATGAAATTCATTAGCTTCAGGTTTCTACGGCATGTTAAGCTGTCACCATAGTCTTCCATAATTTATCGTAATGTGCACAGCTGAGATGACTTCCAAAGATCCTAGTGTGTTCATTTGGGTTGTGTTGTATAAATTGTGGAATACCTCTTAATTTTACTTTTAGAAAGCCTTACTTTTTCTTAAATATCTATCTAACATCCATATTTTCAAGAAGTTCACAACTAGAGTTATATTCCTTTTGAATTTATTTTATTTTGCATGCTTTCTCAAGCAAATACACTTATTTTGCATTGACGTCACTACCTATTTGAATTTGATAAATAGATTAAGTAGGCAATTCATAAATAATTCTTATAAACAATTTCAGAAATACATTCTTTTTTGTTCTGAAATCCAGGGCTCTGAAAATACTCCTTCCTGGGCACTTCTGTTAGAATTTCTTTCTCGACTAATCTCATAACAATTGGGAGGCTAATCCTGCTTTCGCTGGGGTAGGAGGGAGAGATTTTTCTGGCTAGAAGAGGATAATCATTAGTATTTCTGAAGTCATTTCTTAAGATAGAGGACAAAGTTGATTATGTTTTCGTAGGAATTCTTGTGAGTTACTTTCAAAACAAAACTTCAGTTTTGCTACTGTTGCTTAGTTTTCCATTTTTAGTCCACTACATTTTTCTTGAAAGCACCTTTTAAAAAAGAAAAAAAAATCACATCCCTAAACTAAGTATAAGATAAATTGTTTAAAACGTCTAAATCAGTTAAGAAATTCCTTTTAGAATCTATTATCTGTGTTACAGTCACTTAATAAGAACTGCAGATAAACCAGAAATGAAAGTTATTCATCATGCAAAATTGGTACTTAAAAGAGCTTTTCTGTGTTGAACTAATGAAATAAAATACCAAAATACGGAATTTCTAAGTTAGATTATGTAATTGTAAGCAACACGGGCATTGTACTAAAGCCAAGTGGATGTACAGGCCCTTGTAATACATATAAGTTGCCCCCATTTATTCTTTGTGTGTGAAGAACACATTTATTTATGTTCTCCATGACTTGACTGTAGAATGCAGCAGTAATCTCCATTGCTTTTCAGGCCTGACAGCAAGGCTCTGAGTAAAGAATGAATACAGCCTTGAATGAGCATCTGAGACACTTTTTTTGAAGGCTGGTTATCAATACCTTTTTCTCATTATTGTAAGGCCAGCTGCTCTGGCTTTTTTTTCCTTTGCAGGGGGGTGGGGGGAAGCACTACTAAGCATGCATTAAAGTCTGTTTTTCAGGGTATACATTCTCTCTTTTTTCTGTAAAATTGGTAGTGATTTTGAATATTTCATTGTGTGTACATGTGTATTCTTTTGTGGGCTACAAAGACTTTTTGATAAGTTTCTTATCTATCTTGCCTTTAGGCTAGCTTTTTTAATACTACTCCTTTGATACAGAACACAGATGTCTTCATGACTAATGAAATTCCCCATCTACCTCTCTGACCTGAAACAATATAAAAGACACAAAAGCTATTAAATTACAATGTGTCTTCTATTTTAACATCTTCCAATATTACTTATTGTCTTAGTTTATTTTTACCCATGAAAGCTAAGAAGTATACTTCTAACTTTAATGAAAATATAGAACTTTTATTTAGACCACAATAAAGGAGCTTATCTCCTATTATAGTTTGATTTTTGTATATATTGTCTATGTTTATTTCAGCTCACTGAAAAAGGACATATTTTATGTCTGCAGAGATTTGAGGCGGTGCTGGGTATTGGGGTTGTGACAATGAATAGACAGAGCCCCACTTTCTGAGTATACAGACAAATTAACAAAGCACAATGGATGTTATCTTAGGGACTTGGAGTATTTAGTCTTGAGAAATCAGAAAAAGCTTCCAAAGGGAAGTAACATTAAAATTTTGAGGTATACCTAGACAGACAAATGTTAAAGTGAGAGTGAGGAGTTTCCCGAGCAAAAGAAATATGTGTGTGAAAGTCTGGAAATGTTCATTGCACATTGTGCATGAAGTGCAGTGGCTGGAAATATTAGAGGTTGACAGGAGCAAATCGTGAGAGGTCTTTAGAAAGAGTTCTCAAAGGGTTATATTTTATTGCATGGGCAATTAAATTGGAGAAGTGGAATTAGAATAGTTTTGGAAACCCAACTGATGCCTGCAAATAGGTAAATGAATTAGAAATCTGTTTGCAGGCGAATAACACCACTTACAGTGTTAGAGCAGGTAAGAGGGTGTTGGCAGAGGAGATAGTGAGGGATATTTAAAATATACTAGACTTGGTCTTGGAGGGGAAAGGGTCAGGGATGACTTCTAGGGTCCTAGCTTGCTGATGATTAAAGAAGTATTAAAAGAGAAGCGGGTTTGGAAAAGTGGGTTGGTGGGTTTGGAGTTCAGGGTAGGGAGAAGGAAGATCAAGGGCATGGTTGGAAGAAGGGATTAATTAAGGGTAGGGGTGATTGGGTAAGATCTTTGTAGAGAAATCAGTTATGCATAGGAAATTATCAGACAGTAAGCAATTATTGAGGTCAGTAACCATGAATTTATAGTGACTCCAATATGCAGGCTGTATGGAAGTTGAATATTTCCCCCCAGCCTGACCTAATTCCGTGATTAAATTCCCTTGCTGAAGTTCTCATACAATTTGCTGCAATACTAGTTTGATCTCCTTCCCTCATTAAGTACTTGGACAGGCTCTTCTGGACCATCAGCTCATGCAAAGAATCTTCTTCCTTACCCAAACTTCTTTCCACCGCCCCGGACTCTACATCATCCCAACTTGCTTTAGTTTAGGCTTATGTGCAAACCATTCTTTATTCCTATCATACCTTCAGAATTTCTTATTCCTGTTTTAACATACACACCTATCCTTTACTTGGTTATCTTTCCAGTGTAGAAATGTTGCTTCTGAATGTTGTGTCAAAGCTAATTCTGCTACGATGATGATGTAATTCAGAATAAAGAAGCAACCAAGGGGAGGCCATTTGAGATTTGGCTTTTTGTCCCTCTTTCATGTCTGAGCTATCTCATCTGCCTAATTTACTCTATCAGCAGGAATCCGTTTTCCTTTGAACATGTATTTCTCAGTTCAGATAAGAACGTGTACATGG